AGTATGCAATAGTTAGTACCTGCCAAAAGTGGTGCAAGGAAGGTCAACTGGTACACCGGCGTCAGGGACTTGGGTACCCAGGGCTCATTGATGCATACGGGGAGTGAAGGCCAGCCCATCTGGTCCAATCAAATTGCTCAAATTGCTGAAAAACTTAATGTTGGCACACAACTATTCCCAGTATGCAATAGTTAGTACCTGCCAAAAGTGGTGCAAGGAAGGTCAACTGGTACACCGGCGTCAGGGACTTGGGTACCCAGGGCTCATTGATGCATACGGGGAGTGAAGGCCAGCCCATCTGGTCCAATCAAATTGCTCAAATTGCTGAAAAACTTAATGTTGGCCCTGATAGAAAGGTGTCAGAACACACAATGCATCACAGTATGTTATGTATTGGGCTACATAGCCACTGACTGGTCAGAGTGCCCATGATGACCCCTGTCCACCGCTAAAAGTGCCTACAATGGGCATGTGAGAGTCAAAAGTGGACCATGGAGCAATGGAAGAAGGTTGCCTGTTCTGATGAATAATGTTTTCTTTTAGATCTGATGGATGGCTGGGTGCATGTGCATCATTTACCTGGGGAAGAGATGACAGCAGATGCACTATGGGAAGATGGCAAGCTTTGGGATGCAGTGTTATGCTCTGGGCAACGTTCTGCTGGAAAACCTTGGGTCCTGGCATCATGGGAATTTTAATTTGTCACATACCACATAATCCCTAAAGATTATTGCAGACCACCCCTAATGGCAATGGTGTTCCCTGATGGCAGTGGCCTCTTACAGCAGGATAGTGCACCCTGCCACACTGCACAAATTGTTCAGGAATGGTTTGAGGAACATGACAGAGAGTTCAAGGTTTTGACTTGGCCTTCAAATTCCTCAGATCTCAACCTGACTGAGCATCTATTGGATGTGCCGGGCCAACAAATGCGATCCATGGAGGCCCCACTTTCATCTTGCAGGACTTAAAGGATCTGTATAAATGTGGTTTTCCTTGAGCTAGAAAAAATAGCAATGTGAAAATGTGTCAAAATGTTAAAATGTTGTATCCTAGATCCATGTAAAGCCCCATCTGTACAAGTTCACCTGGATGACACGCTCTTCTCTTTTAGGCAAAGTCTCACCGGTTCTGTTTTGCTTATCTAATCAATGCTATTCAAAGTAACCAGCTTCGAATTCCTCTCACTCATTCATTCTATCAAAGAAGCACTCAAGTAAGACTGTCGAGAAGCTCCTTTGACTAAAATGCATCCCTCCGTCGTCCTTCTGGTCCTTGCCATCACAACATGGCTCTCTGAACACTGGGGAACTGCAACCGTGGTTGAAGACTTCAACCATGTTGAGAGATGCAAGGACTCGCTGTATATGGGCACTCCACCACGAGGCATCAGAGATAGCATGCACAAGAAGATCTGCCAGCGCTACGCTGACAAACCTAGATACGTGACCCTGTACGACTCCAAAAACCGTATCCCGGTTTACTCCGCATACACCTTCAAGAAAACAGAGGGCGATCGGCGTGTGGACTATCCCTGGATGTATGAACCTCAGGTATGAAACTATTCATTTTAAGAATAAAAAGTACAAAAACTGTCCCTGGGATGGTCCCTTTCAAAAGGTACAAATATGAACCTTGGAGGTGTACCTTCTGAAACCCCAGTGACAGCCTTTGTACCTTTTATCTGAGAGTTTGAGGACTGCCTTTCTTTGTTACAATTGCAATGAAGTGTTGACCTTCTTCCCAGCTTGCAGAGCTTGATGGGAATGGGAACATGTTGCCGTTCCCCACCGGATACTTACACATGAAGTTTGAGGACAGCCAGGCGGTTTTGGATGACTACTCCGATGTGGTTCTGTATGAGAGAGGCCATCTGAATCCAGACCAGCACCAGTCAGACCCCCAGGACCGAGCAGCTACCTATGCGCTCACCAACGTCGTGCCAGAAATACGTGAGTTCAACATCGGACCATGGCGGGAACACGAAGAGCGCATCCGTGTGCGCCTCAACAATTTCTGCCGGGGCACAGCCTACATTGTAACTGGGGTTACCACTACTGGAAACATGATCCGACGCAACAACCAGGACCGTGTTGGCATCCCTGAAGAAGTGTGGTCTGCCTACTGCTGCACTGACTACGACAGGAACGCACCACACAATGTACGCATCCGCTTTCCGACCCAAGCAGCCCTTGCCAAGAATGCAAAGGAGGGAAACAGAGTCCAAGAGCTCACAGTGCAGGATCTGGAGAACTACCTGATAAACAAAATGTCCGTGGACAAGAACTTCCAGCTGTTCTATGATAACTGCAACTCACCTTCACCTCTTCCTGCCTACCTTCATTATGCCAAATGATCTGTCTTACGTTCAGCTTATAGCTTTGGTTGTGGTTTCATTTTTCTTGCTTTCTTCTTTCCTGTAGCTTCTCTGTAAATTACTGTACAATTATTTAGAAATTTTGTAGAGTCAGTTTTGCAGAATGTTAAATATAGTGGTTTGCAATGTTATACACTACTGTTTAAATATTTGGGGTAGGTAAGTTTTTTTTTTTTAATTAGTAGAACTTTGCTTTGTTCCTGAAAATTACATTTCAAATAAATGCTGTTCTTTTGAACTTTATGTTCATCAAAGAATCCTAAAAAATGTATCAGTTTTCACAAAAATATTATGGAGCATCTGCAACAAGCAACAACTGTTTTCATCATTGATAATACTAACAAATGTTTCTTGAGCAGCAAATCAGTATATTAAAATGATTTATGAAGGATCATGTGACACATAAATAAAATAAAATAAAAAAATCTTACTGGCCCCAAACTTTGAATGGTAATGTACAGAATATAGACTTATAAAACTATTTAATTCAATAGCCATATTGAGGATAATAAATGGAAATTTGTCCCTTCATGGTGTAAAACAATGGTTGTGTAAGTAACATATTTCCTGTCAGCTCTCTGCCTACAACAGTTTTATTGCTTTTATCTTAACATTAATCATCCTATATATGCATAGTGTAATCATGACAAACTGCCTCAGTTCACATACACATGTTCAGTAACTCATTGACACCGCCTTAAGTTTTAGGTTGGGTTTTTTTTAAAGCTGAAAAGGCTGATTTTGTGTGGTATAAAATGATATGTGAAAAATAAAAACTAAAACAAAAACAAAAACCCTGACTTGTCATACTTTTCCAACCTAATTTTTTTCTTTGGTATTTTCATTTTGTTCTTTCAATAAACATGACTGATACAAACCAATAAAATACCTAAGGAGAAATTTCTAGTTGATTTTCAACATTACAGCAAAATATTATCTATGATTGATATCAGGCATCATTTCCAGTAACTGACACATGTATCAAATCAATATAACATTGTGAGAAACAGGGAGAGAAAGAGTAATGAATATAAAGGACATTTTTATTACAAGACCTTTAAAGGGGTCATATGATGCTTTTTTAAAGATCATTATTTTGTGTATTCAAAAACACTGGGTGAAAATGTCTCCATGTCTCTTTTATCAATGTTGAGTTTAATAAGTTTTATTATTTTGTGATTATTGCTCAACATTATAAGGATGGAGGGGGAAAATAATTGGCATGGTAAAAAAAAAAGTGAAGAGTAGATGAATTTGAAAGACAGAGTTGTGTGCAAATGGGCCTTGAAACCCACTAAAAACCGCACTTACTGGGATGGTCAAACAAGAGCATCTGCCACATCATGGTGACATATTCTAATTAACTATCTATTCTTTAAAGCAACACAAATACAGCTCCCTACACTTTAAGGCAGGGGTCACCAAACTCGGTCCTGGAGGGCTGGTGTCCTGCAGAGTTTCGCTCTAACTTGCCTCAACACACCTGCCTGGAAGTTTCAAGTATACCTAGTTAGAGCTTGAATAGCTGGTTCAGGTGTGTTTGATTAGGGTTGGAGCTAAACTCTGCAGGACACCGGCCCTCCAGGATTGAGCTTGGTGACCCCTGATTTAAGGAATGGGACCATTAGGAAATACAGCCTTTATGAAAGTGCACAAATAATTCACAGGTCACACAGGACGAGTCTTCAATGACTGACCACTGCAAACCAATACCATGAACGAGATTAGCAAGCTTGTGGGACATTCCTTTCATTTTTAAGGACATAATCTAATCTCAGAGAGACACAAATGAGGAAGGATAAGCAAATACCACGAAGCGAATAAGGCTGAGTAAGCCTTAACTCTCTCTCTCAAACTCATATTCTTCTTTTTGCTTGTATTCCTTTCTGTAAATTGTCTTTAGTTAATATCATTATTGGCAGTTGTAATTTTGTGTCTATTCATAGTATAATAAACGAGATTCTTGCTTTCTTTGCTGCTGGTTAACTGTTATGGAAGACTTGGAGAATGTGGCTCAAGGTAAACGACCAAAGTCCCCTGATCCCAGATCATCAGACCACATTGACAAGTCAGATGCCTGTTATCTTATTAATCACAATGCCCCAGGCAGGGACTTTACCCAGTCTAAAAATGATCACGGGATCCAACTATACAACATTAAAGCTGCTACAAGGTGTTCAGAAGACATAGTGCTAAAGAGGGCCCAGGTGCCCGGACCATAATCCATGCCTGAGTAAGGTAAACTATTTCTACAGTTGTGACCAAAACCATGGCTGGCTGTAATTCAGTATTTGTACACTAGATGGTGGTGCTGTCAAAAAAAAAACAACAAAAAAAAAACAACCACATTCTTAGTTAGAAAATACTATATAATACTGTATAATAATAGCTTTAATAACTACACACACAAAAAATACAACATTAAAATAGTTTTAGCTAAGGCACAATCTATTTGTTTAGCTTGTTTAAATTTACAGTCGCCAAATTATAAGTGCTTCTAGTAAAGATTAACAAATGAACCCTCAAACGTGAGATCAGTGTCGTCACGGGATTGCACACAGAAACTCTGAATGTATATTGAGCAACACAGTTGACAGTCAAACAGCACAGACAGAACGGCGTGCGCTGGAATACCATCAAGGACTCAAGAGGAACAGGGTCACGCAGGAGTCATAGTGCTGAGCTCAAATCTGCGCAGGAGCTGAAGGGTGCAACGAGAAAAGTCGCAATTAAGGATTTAAGAACATTATGCATCATAAAAATGCAGCTTGCGGATGCAAACGTTTTCAGGTAAGCTAAGCTTTTTATAAGGTGGAGCAATTAAAGCAGAAAACTTTTGTGACGTCGTAAATAATAGAGGAGCCCGGGGATGGTTGTAACATTTTTGACATTTCTGTCTGTATCTTGGAGTTAGCCAGTGCATTCAAATTGTGATTTAAACTAGTTACAAGTGCCTGCTATTAAATGACGCAGCTGTTATCTTTGCAGCACAAACAGATAATGAATGGTTTAGTTTCAAACACAAGGAGTGAAATGTTACAATTCACCCCATAGGTTAGTTGTAACATACCCTGGGGTGAGATGTAACATTATTATATCGACCTGGGTGATATGTAACATTATGAAATAAGGATTATGACAAAAAAAAAAATATGTTGAAAGCTTTTTATTCAGCACTGACTTTTCAACATAATTGGTGTGTGTGTGTGTGTGTGTGTGTGTGTGTGCGTGTGCGCGCGCACTGGTTTGGGTGGTTTAAGAGGACACAAATTTGTATAATGACATGGGTATGACACAGGTATTACAGTATGAAGGTGGTTTATGAGGACACTACCTGTAATTCAAAAGGCTTAAAAAAACATAATAAATGGTGTTTTTTTTTAAATCTAAAAATGCAGAAAGTTTTCTGTGAGGGGTTTAGGTGTAGGGCGATAGAAAATACAGTTTGTACAGTATAAAAACCATTACGCCTATGGAGAGTCCCCGTAAACCACCAATACCAACACGTGTGTGTGTGTGTGTGTGTGTAACAAAACAAATAAAATGAGCAAATGTGCACCAGCTTCAACAACTGAACACTATTTGTGTGTGAGTGTGTGTGTGTGTTACATTATCATCATAATGCTAAAACTGAATGGCATGTGTGCATGTGTGTAAGCATGTTTGTTACTGTCATAGCAATTGGCCATAATAAAATTGAACATGAACATTTGAACGCTGAGAGACATCCCTCAGTTTGTCTTTCTCTTCCAAGACCTATACTGAAATTCAAAGAAAACATAAACATACAACTAAAAATTTGCTTGGGGTAGGCTGTAACATGTTTCATTGATGTTACAACAAACCCAGATTCTTGTAGCCATGAACTAGCTCACTCTACAGCGAACAGCCAAAATATTAGCACTATCAACCTACATGAAAAATATCTACACAGACATACAGTAAACATAATGTAACTTTTATAGGTTTAACTAAAAAAAGTTAAAAAAAAAGTTACTTTCTTACATCAAATAAAGTTTTTTTCCCCTCTAAAATCTGCGGTGTCTGCCACAGTTCTCTACTTATTCACATATGGAATAAGGACTAAATTGAGCATGTGCGAAGTGAATCTGGTGATTTGTAACTTTCTCCTGATTGGAGAAATTGGAAGTGTTACAACTGACACATGTTACAACCATCCCCGGTCTCCCCCTACTCAAGTTTGTGATCACACATTTCTCTAAGCATTATAGTTATAGTTAAGATTTATTTTATATCATTGTATTTTATATTTTAATTAATAAATATGCACCTCAACCCACAATTGCAATAGTTCACATTTATATAAATAACACATATGTGTATGTATGATATCATATAGGCCTATAGTTTCTATGATGGATGTGCTGCAACTCAGACGGGGGGTAATTCAACATGACTAATAAACACACGACTACGAAAATAAATGGTTTATCTGAGTTTGTCTTATTATAATTTTTATTATAATAAAGTATATAATAATGCAATGTTAATTGACATAGACTTTATCACTGCTTAAATACTATGAAATATGTTGCGTGCCTTATTCTGTGTAAGAAGCCACATCATCTTACAGAAGGATTTATTTCAAACACTCGACTGACGTTATGAAGTGAGTTTGGAGTAAAAACATGTTATTAAATGTGGTATTTTCACGTGCTTTCAGATGGAGCAGCATTTACTATACAGAGCCATAGTTCACTGACAAGCTACACAAACAGTTTTCTTAATCGCAGAACGATTTCTTCGATTTCATAATCGCGCGATTAAATCGTCTGCGATTATGAATGCGATTTTGCATAGCTTGTCAGCGAACTACGGCTCTGTGTAGTAAACGCTGCTCCATCTGAAAGCACGTGATGGAGATTTACTACTAATCACAGAACCGGCTTTGCTGACAAGATGCGCATGACAATCGCATTCGATTAATCGTGCAGCCCTACACTATAATATACAAAACAGTATTTAAGAATAAATATAATAATTGTTATATCATTGTATTTTACAGAAAACATTTATTTTACAGAAAACTGCAGGGTGACATGTTATCATGCAGGGAGCCTATAGCTATCAATCATTAGAAATGTCTAAGGTTTTATTATAAAATGTTAAATAATTATGAAAAAAAAAAATTGTGACAGTAATTTCTTAATTTTTGTCAGGAAATCTTATGCATTCACTGAGAGAAAAAACATAACTCCTGTACACTTCTCTACACTGGAGAAAAACGTATGGATATGGATGTATACTTCCAGGAAATCCCTTATATGGACAAAGGCATCCAGTTATCGCTGTAGCTGAATAAAATGCAGATAAAGATGGTTTGACTGATGAAGCATCAATAGAATAGACATAAGATTGCGACAATATATGGTTTATCTGTGTTCTTCAATCCATGCTCAGCAGCTGTGAATTAGAGACCTGTGCAAATGATTTGTGGTTTTTAGCAAATTGATTGAGTGAACGATTCGATTCACTCATAAGACACAATTAAAGAGATAGTTCACCCAAAATGAAAATTCTGTCCTTAATTACTAGTTCCAAACCCGTAAGACCTTCGTTCATCTTCGGAACACAAATTAAGATATTTTTGATCAAATCCAAGGGCTTTCTGACCCTGCATAGACAGCAACTGAACTGAAACGTTTTATGGCCCAGAAAGTTAGTAAGGACATTGTTAAAATAGTCCATGTGACATCAGTGGTTCAACTGTAATTGTAAAAGTATTTGCGATAACAGTGTTTATTTGTCTGTTTAGGTCTGGTGTCGGTTTTGATAGTGTTTGTGTGGCTGGGTGGAAACCAGGTCTCTCCCCTCCGACCCATCTGTGACCTGAGGGTTCTGGAACACTTTGTACGAGAAGCTCGAGATTCTGAAGTCATCATGGTGAGGTCTCTATGTGTTTCACACAGCATGTCAGGTTATTTTCAGAAACATCAGTCCATCTGTCTCTTTTTCTCTCAGCGAGGTTGCAGAGGAGGCTGTGGAGCGATGAAATCCTACTTTGTACCTCTGACTAGTGTTGACTTTGCTTTTTGGGAACATATAGACGTGAGTCATGATGCACTAGCTGTGTTTAATATAAAAAAAAATTAATGTTTACATACATATTTATATACACATTAGATACTTAAAACCACCATTATGCAAATAAGTAATACAACATAATACAAAAACATCAATATACATCATGCACAAACTCTTTTATTGTTTATATTTACTTGTAAAGGTACTTTAAAAAGGCTTTGATATATTAATTCCTCGTACAAATCCATTTTTATCAGTTTTCCCATGCATTTCTCATGTTATCATCATATCAGCGATACCTCCTGATTTGAAGTATTGGTGTATTTTATAGACGATTAAAGCCAGTGTATTACATAGAACGTATTTCTACTCATTCATAGTGTAAATCTATGTGTCCAGGTTCATGAACAGGCCGTGGAGGTCCAGACTGGACTGTCTCTGCTGGTTCAGGCCCTGAGTACAGCAATGAAAGCAATGAGCAACTCTCGTCTGGCCAATGCACTGGATAACAACATCAGTAACATCCACAGCCTCAGCCAGATCCTGCACAGTCTTGATTTACAGGTGTAGTAACCACTGATGTGTTGTGACTATGAGCACATGTGTCTGTCACAGTAAGGTCTATTCTGACATTAAATGGATAGTTCACCCAAAAATGAAAATTACCCAATGATTTACTCACCCTCAAGCCATCCTAGGTGTATATGACGAATACAATCGGAGTTATATTTCCCACTGTGCCAAAATATAATGAATCATGGTTAAAATATAATACTAGAGCAGGGCTGTCCAAACTCGGTCCTGGAGGGCCGGTGTCCTGCAGAGTTTAGCTCCAACCCTAATTAAACACACCTGAACCAGCTAATCAAGCTCTTACTAGGCATAGAAACTTCCAGTCAGGTGTGTTGAGGCAAGTTGGAGCTAAACTCTGCAGGACATCGGCCCACCAGGACCGAGTTTGGATAGCCCTGTACTAGAGTATATATATACTGTATATATATGAGTACACAATACACTTGAAATGGAAGGGGAAACTAGCTTAGTAGTCAAAGCTGTTAACAGTAGTTGATTTTAGCAGTACAAACAGTCTTGGTTTGTTTCATGGGTTGTGATTTTTTTACGAGGCGATCCAATCAGATTTGAGAGCTGCAATCTATCCATTTTAGAATTTTTTAAGATAAATTTTCCCTAATGAGTCTGTTCTGTTTCCACAGCAGGCCAGATCCACAGTTCTTCCAGATGATTCAGCTCCTACCAGCTCACAGACGCAGGAAGTCTCCTCTCTCCCAGAACTTCTGCAGGTGCAGAGCAGTTTCCTGCGTGGCAAAGTCAGACTCCTGCTTTCAGCTGCACCAGCCTGCCAACGGCAAAACAGCTGATGCGAACTCAGGAACTGTTTACAGCAGTCACAGATACACACAACCTCAGACACGAACACTTGATTGTGACTTGTTACTCAATCTTAAATCTTAAAGAGCTTATGAGTTCCAGGTGTCACTCTTTAAATGGTCTTCTGCATTCGAAAGCCTGTAGTCATGTTTCTAGAGAATGCATCACGTGTAGAGTGAAGTAAAACGGTCGTGACACCTTGACTTATTCAACAAGGTGAACATGGCAGAAGAACCTGCAGAGGAACGTTTCAGAGCCCACAAGTGGACTCAAAGGCTTATATCAGGGTGGCGAACAGCTTGTCTGGCTGTATCCAGCCACCTGGACTACAGTACACCTGAGACACTTTTATTTAATTATATTTGTATGTTCAATTTTCAACAAATTCATGAATTGTGCTGTTATTTGTTCATTTTTTAGTAGGCAGTGTCCCTTATGTGTACGCATACTACAGGACCTGTCCTTTCTGAGATGTGTACATTTAACAGCAAGACCAAAGGTCTTTTTTTGAGGATTCAGCAAGGTTTGCCATGTGGACACATGCTGTGTGGCTGCTGTGGTATGAAGTATGCTTCCATCTAGAGGACAAAACAGGAAAATTAAATAAAACTGCAAGTATACATAAATTATATAAGTGAATAAAATATTTTTTCAAGTAGACAATTTAGGACAATAACATGCAAATAAGGAGACAGGCCTGTCCGTATGTTTAATAACCTTTTTAATGTTGTCCAGTTCAGATACACAACATACAGTGTGTAATAGCCTGTATAGGAAATAGAAATATGAATTTCATTCTTTAGACCCATTATGGTCATACAGTCCCCTCATCTTAAGCCTTTTTTTTGTATGTTGCTGAAATTCAACAAAATGAAACTCAACAGGTGCAAGTCTTTTTTTTTTTTGGCGACCAAGCATTAATACTCTCAGTATTTTTTTTCTTCATTTTTTTTCTTTAAATCTTCTATAATACATAGGCAACCCAGTCAAAAAGTATCACCATGTATTTCTGGTGAGAGTGTGCTTTATATGTCTGTCAGTTGCCGGTAGAATCATCTCTCTCCCTTTATTTTTTAGAAAAATATGAACTGTTTAAATTCTCTACTTTGAAATATATGCAGCTCAAATTCACAACAAAGAGATAAGCCAGAACTCTGTGGAATCCCACCCCCACTCCAACAAATCTCCAATGGTTTGGGTAACATTAAATTTCTAAGAACTTACAACCAGGTAGGAGAAAACAAATACCCCACACTGTCATTTAGTCCACTGAAGCGTAATGAAGAACACCCAGGAGAATGACTCAAACAGCAGGCCTCTCGGAAAAAAACAGGGCTGACTCAAGCGATTTACATCCTACGGCCTCATACGAGGAAATAGAACAAGCTTCCCCACATAAACTTTCTCATTTAACTCTCCAACAAAATATTCTGATTAGGCCCTGATCGGTTCCACCCTCCGTTTTTCAAACGAAACAGAATCAGATGCAGCCACTCCATGTCCATTGTCGGGTCTTGCAGCAAATTTGAATTCCAAATGCAATTACTCTCATCAAGTGCGCTCATTCTTGACTCAATATATTCTCTAATGTGGAATTCGCTTCGTTTCCGCTTCCCTCAACATTCATTACGATTTAATGTCTTTTGTCGAAAAGAAGCTTTAGTATCTGTAAACCTTCAAATGAAAATCTAATGGTCTTCAGAATCGTGGGTGGAGGGATATGATTGGATGAATGAGCTTGCACCTGTTTATACAGTGGATACGATTGGCCATGAACTCAACAATAAACAAAATATTTACAAAGACCATGTCATCTCTTACACTTGTAAAAATGTACAGTTTGCATCTTTTGTTTTTCGTCATGACATGACATGAAGTGGTCTTTGTGTTTTCCATCCACCCACCGACAAGAAACTCCAAAAACAAGACGACGAGAACAAAAAATGGATGGAGATGAGATCGGTATGCACAGTTGCTTGCATTATGGATCATAAATGTATATTTAAGTGGCATGAGGGGTGATGCCTCGTCCACTGTAATGCAGTATACCTCTTCAGGCTGTGTTTAGTTTCTGACCGCCACTATGGCTCAGACCTGATGCACAAAGCTACCAGAGTGAGTATCCAGAGCTCATATAGAGGCCACATTTGTGCTGTTCCTCATACACTCACACTTACATGCGCATACATGAACGCAAATCGCCCATCTCACGCTTCCTCTCAGCCAGATCGTTCTTGGCACCCTGAAAGAGAGATTTCGGAAAAACGCGTTGAGAGGTGAGAGGTTGAACCAGAAGGTCTTGCGGGGACTTGTGACAGGGCATGTAACAAGATGTCCACCTGATGACAAGTGAGCTCAAACTGAGATAATCACTCAAAGGTCAGTGTCAGTGAGGGGGAAGAATGTTCTGGACACATCATGAGCTCTCTTGGGCTCTGGATAAAAGAGAGAGACGGAGAGACTCCAGCTGTGCGGGAACGGGTGTAGGTGTTGATCCCGTCGCTCTGGACGTCCAACTCAGCAGAGCCCGAGTCTTTACGGAGAAATGGCAAGAGAGAGCGACACAGTGAACTTTCCTTAACTCAATGTGGCGTAATGTGTGGGTTACTACTGATGACTATATGAGTGGAGAGAGAGATAAAAGGGATAAAAAAGGAGAGGAGGGGATCGTGGATCTGATCAGTCCTTCTCCAGGAGATGAGCTTTGTCGTACAGCTTCCGTAATTATAAATGAAAAAAAAGAAGGGAACTATTTATCCTCTTTATTATCGTCAAGAATCAGTTTCATTTCCGGATATGACCATGTATCTACAGAGGGAAAAGAATCTTCAAATGAAGTGCACAAAATACAGCTGATGTAAAAAAAAAAAAGAGAGAGAGAGACAGAGAGAAAGAGAGAGAGCAAGAGAGAGAAGACTGTTGCAGAAAAAGACAATAAAAAGAAGAGTCTTGAATCTCGAATGTCCATTTTCCTCTTTAAAAATAAATCATGCAATTTTCCCAAAGCGCAATCAAGATATAAATTTAATTAATCTATATCTTTTTATATAGATATTTGTAGTGTTGTTAATTTCTCTCCATAGGCAAATAACAGTGACAGTGCAAAATAAAAAGCAAAAATGAGAGAGAGAGACCAAAGAAAAGAAAAACAAATTTGGCACTTTTTTTTTCTCAATTCTGCAAATTCCTTGAATAAATCCATTTCAAGTGATTCTCTCCACGTCCGTCCACTAGACTGCGTCTGATTGGACGATGATCACAGTACTTGGCACAAGAATGCTGGTAAAAATTAGATAGTAGAATATTTTTTCATTCATAGCCTTATTAGGTTATCAATAATACATATTTTACACGTATGTTTTCTTGATTTATAAAACAGTCCGAAGTAGGAAAAACTGTTCTTTTTGGGGGACTAGAAATGGCTACAGCAGAGCAAAAGACTGTTGGGGAGAAGACAAGAAAGAAAAAGGGAAAGGTTGCAATGGAACTTGAGGGGGGAAACAATAGGAGAAAAAACTCAATGGGAGGGGATAGCTGCTGTATTGAGTAGGGAAAATGGCCAACATTTCTCCACCCAAAATCTTCACCAAGAATGAAAGGAGCAGGAAGAGTAAAACAAGAAAGAACGAGAGAGAAAGAGAGTGTGCTGGGAGTGGACTTAAAAAGGACAGGAGTGGTGTGTCGAACAGTATCCGTGTAGAGCACCACTCTTAGTACCGGAGGTCTGTGTTCCTATGTGTTTGGGGGGCCTGGTCCCCTTAGAGGGGTTACTATACTCGTGTGGTGGAGTGCTGGTGGGGCAGGGCGTTGTTGCTATGCCCAGCACTTGGTGCAGGCGCAGGGGGATAAGTGTTGAAGGCATGGAGGGGCTGCATGCCAGTGATGGTGCTGGGGATCATAGAAAGGGTGTTAGCCGTCATAAGTGGCACGTCCTCAGGTGCCCGCCGTAGCGCCAGAGTGTAGTCCGGCGGGCACACAGGTGGTCTTAGAGGCTCGAGGTCGCCGTGGAGACCACGCGGTGGAAGAGGTGTGCCATGGTCGAGTTCCACCCTTTGCTGCTTCATCTGCAAGGACATTAGCTCCTCCTCCTGGCTCAATGCCAGGTCGTTATGGGGTGGAGCCCCTACAATGCCAATGCCCGGCCCCGTCCCACGTTGAGGTGAGAGGCGCCGATGGCGGCGCTGCAGCAGCTCGTGCCGCTTGTCGCGTTTATAGTACAACGCGGCAAACGCCAGCACATTGAGGAAGAGCAGCGATGCGCCCACTGCTACTGTCACGCTCAGCTCCGTCGAATAGTCCCGTGTGTCACTCGGGAATGGGAAGCGTTCAGGAGGGTGTTCAGAACCTTCGAGGTCCGGGTCGGGTGGGTAGGTTGAGACCGTGGGGTGGCGAGTAGAGCGTGTGCCAGGGCTCTGGGCCGTGCCCTTCCAACCGGTCCGGTGCGGGCTGCCGGGTGGCAGTCGCGTGGTTATGGAGCTGATGATCTCCTCATGAAGGGTGTGGAGGTGAGGAACCAGCTCAAGCCAGAAAGCAACTTTGTTGGCACGGTAATTATCCCGGATGCGAGGCTTCAACCCGATGTGGAGGTACTGCTTGTCTTTAGAGCTGAATTTGGTCCAGATAACTTCCTCGAAGCGATTGGGCTTAGTATGGATGAACTTGGTATCCTGCGGTACTGGAATGTTCGGATCACTGGAAAAAATATTGAAACAAAGTGAGAAGAAAAAAGGACAGAGGAAGATAACTGCATTTGTATTCTGGTCTCACTGGGTGAACAAATTCGTACAGATCAAACTCTCACCCCGTCTTGGCGAAGTTGGTCCAGTATGTCATCACCACAGCGCTGAGCATGACATCGTTCTTGGAAAAGTTGCAGGGAAATAGATCTGTGGCACCCACCATGGGAACACCAAACACATACGGGATCTCGTCACCATGTGCTGCGTCTGCCCACTCGGGTCGTGCTTCCATCTGGCAGTGGTGGTGGAAGGTATAAAAATAAACAGGGGACTGGAACTCCGCATGCAGCTTAGCTGTGGCCACTGCTGGCGCCACCCACTGGTGGTCGGTAAAAAGTGCAAGTAGTGTTTTACGCCGCATGTCACTGTTATCGCGGTCAGCCCAATCTGTGTACATGAACTTTATGGTCTCCCGCAGTATGTCTTTACCTAAAAAAGGGACAGAGACACCAAGAGAGAAAAAGATGGATGTTGGTTGTTGAAAGACAGAGTTGGTTGTCACACAAAGCAGGGCACCTTGACCCAATATAGGAGACAGTGAGACAGAAGCACCCAAGGTGAGGGGTAAAATTAGACTGACTACCTTGAACAACCGGTAAAAGAATATGTAGATGTGTATGTCAGTGTTGCCAGCAGAAATCTGTGGGACAGTCCTGAATGTACATGTAATACAGTTTCTTATGCACACTTATGCACAGATTTCATAGATTTTATTTGGACCTCAAAAGCAAAACATTTATTTTAATAGGTATTCCATTCAGTGCCTGATTAGAAACCCTAAAAAAGGTTACATTGTGTTGAATATGTACATATGACAAGTGATGTATTTTAAATCACTTCATTTAATTTGGCATGTATACAACTCAGTGAGTAGTATAATTTCTTTTGACGTTGTGCTGTAGACTGAGTGGCAGCAATGGCAGTGCAAACACCGGTCAATGTCTATGTTGCGAGTATGTATGGGTGTATCAGTGAAACTCACCATCTGGGTATCCGTAGAGGTTGTCCACAAAATTTGATATGGTGTAGTCGAAGGAAGCAGCTGAAATACCATCCTCACCCTCACTGTCATCTACAAATTTCAGCCCTTCACCCTGGTTCACCCCCAACAAGATGTCGTAGTTCAGGAACTCCCCCTGAGGACATTACACAAATGTCACCCATTGTACTCACTTTCACTAATTAACTGTCACGATTAGACTCTGAAGCACTCTAAACTCTGGGACCCTGCAGTGTCTAAATTCACACCTGCTGCATGAGGATCTCAGGGTCATCGGGTACCACATCACCGTCCACCACCGGTCCGAATGCAATGTGGTAGCGGGCAGGTTGGATATCCTGATCCACCAGCTCCCTGAAGCTCTTCCTTCGCAGACAGTCCACCAGATCTGCAGTGTCGCTGTAGCTACAACCCACCTTCTTGGCCAGGATCTTGGTGTACATCAGGGGCCGGTAGTTCACTGACCAGCTGGATATGGCGGAGCCACTCTGAGCAATGGCCCTCTGGAACAAACCTGAAACCAGGGCCAGTTACAAGACAATGACTAAGAATAGTCAAAGAGCAGGCTTATAGTGTGAGTGAGTCAACGTGGATAGAGTGTGACCCATGACCATGAGCAAGATAAAGTCACTGAATATCTTTTATCACCACAAAGGGAAGGCCAGTGGAACTCATTTCCATCACAAGAAATGCTTTGCAGTCTGGTTTCTCAACTTTAGAACAGAATATTGACTTCAGAATAGAATAGAACACATTTTTTAACTTCAGAACAGAAGGGATTCTTAACTTAAGAACAGAGCAGAACTTTAACTTCAGAACAGAAAATAATATAATCTCAATTTTTGAAAAAGACCAGAACTGAATCTTAATTTCAGAACAGAACAGAACAGAAGCTCAAGTTCATAAAATAACAGCAATAACTTCAGAAATTCATTCTTAACACATTCTTCAGAAAATAATCTTAACTTTAAAAAAAAAGTTAATAAAAGAATAGACTCTTAATTTCAGAAAATAACACAACCGATTCCGAATTTTAACTTCAGATCAGAAGAGAATAGAATCTTGGCTTCTGAAGACAAATGCACCAAAATAATTTCAATTGTACATTTTTGCATTTGGCAGACACTTTTATCCAAAGTGACTTGCATCGCATTGAACAGACAAACAATTTGATCAATTCATGCATTCCCTGGGAATCAAAACCATGACCTTGGCATTGCTAGTGTCATTCTCTGCTGGTTGAGCTACAGGAATGCCAGACTATGATTGGCCTTGTGTGCTGGCTAGAAAGAGAAGTGAGGTGCAATGTGTATTTAATCTTTAAAAATATTCAATTAAACAGTGTGTCATGTAAACTCGGACCAAGACTGTCAATGTCATCTCAGACTTTTGGACCTTACTGTATATGAACTGTGTTACACATATAAAATTAAAGTTCTGAAACTAGTTTTAATGGTCAGAGAAATAAGTTGCTAAGCTAACACGGTGCACAGTAGAAAGGTCATGCTGTCTTCAACAAAGCATAACCAATAACAGCATGAACCAACAGTCAGGAGCTCCTTTTAATATGTGTTGTAATAGGGCAGGTAGAAACTCTGATTCATTACTTGAGTGAAAGTGACAAAGTGAGCTCAGCAGTGTTCGAAACGGCTCTGGATAAGCATGAGGAAACCATCTTGGCTTTCAGAACCCTGCTGCACCGTTATGTAAAGTGTCCCACGGTTTTCATCTGCAGATTCTATTATTAATTATTAAAATGTTTCCCCCACCCCCAGTCTCACACACACACACACACACACACACACAATACTCTATTGCAAGACCCCTCAGCTCCAGATCCCTATGAAATCAATTAAGAATCAGCTTAGCTGCAGTCGAACACTTCTGCAACACACACATAGTTGTACATGCTGCTCATTATGAATTTGTCTCACATCACTCCATTTTTATCACACAGTACTCATTATAAACTGGCATCAAATGCAGACGCATGTGTGATCTCGAGATAGCGGTGTAAATCAGTCTCGCACGCACACAAACTCACACACATACTGCAAGGCATTGCCAAAAATCAGTCCCACTTTCAGACAGCCGCACAGTATAAAAAGTATAAAACATTTTAGATCATAGAATAGTACATTGTAAAAATAT